ATATATATATATATATATATATATATATATATATGCGCAGGGTGCATTATATTACACCCTGATCTAAAATTACTGATGCAAAGCAATCTGTTAGCACTGATACTCCCATGCATGTCAGAGGTGTCGATTTATCCGCACATATTACAGTCATTTTTGGCGAGTACTCTGCTGCTACTACTACTACTACTACTATTACTACTACTACTACTACTAATAATAATAAAAATAATAGTAATCAGTGGAAAATGTCCTGAAGCCATCTCTGACCTGAGGTCTCTGGTTTGGACCCGGAAATAAATGTTTATACAAGAGAAATCGAAGGAAATAATAATAATAATAATAATAATAATAATAATAATAATAAAATTGCCTCCTTATTGATATGGCAGTCTCTGCAGACTGTGATGTATAGTTGAAGATCGTTAAAATACTATCAAAATACTAGGATGTTGAAAACGAAATCTCTAAATTGCTGTACATGAGAACAACAATCCTTGGAGCCCTCGGATTCATTGCAAAAGATTCCAATAGAATCATTGAAGGGATTTCTGGTAGCCCATGCCTTAAAGAAATACAAAAAAAATGTACTCACAATTACAGCTCACACTTTACGAAGGGCTTTATCTATGTTTTGTTTTTTTTTCAAAATTGCTCATTGGAAAATGTCATGATGCCATTTCTGACTTTAGATCTCTGCGCGGGACTCGTAAAGAAATGAGTAAATATCAGAAATCAAAAGAAATAAAATAATAATAATAATAATAATAATAATAATAACTGACGTAACTCTTCCAGTATCTTTCAACATTTTCAGAATAGAGCGATTTAATTAAAGAAAAAGAAAACTCACAGTGTTTGATAATGTTCAATAATATTCCGTTAGTATGTCTGTCTTCGTCAAGATGTTTAAAAATTGTATACAAGTATAAAAATATAAAAAAAAACTTGCAAAATAATAAGTCTTTGCACAAACACCGCTTGTTTTGAGAAAAAACGGCTGCCATTATTATTATTGCTCCTGTTATGAATAATCGAGAGTGGTCTTCCCTCGTGTTGTTACCCTGCTATTTGAGAGAGTATTTCTGTTTACTGGGACTATCAAAGGACACTAAACGCGAACCTTGTATTGTTAGTTGAATAAAGCTTTCTTAAAGCCTACATCTTTGTCATTACAACAATTATTATTATTATTATTATTATTATTAATAATAATAATAAATGTGCTTTCTTATTGACATGGAAGACCCTGCAGATTGTAATGTATCATTGAAGATCTCAACAAATTCTAAATGCAAGTATCTTGAAATGGAAGTCTCAAAAATGTGGCACATCAATAATTTCAGTTGTAGTTGGAGTCCACGGATTGAATGGAAAAGGTTCTGATAGACTCATTGAAGGTATACCTTGTAACCCATTGCTTATAGAAATACAAAATATGTATGTGATCTTAGGCTATTCATTCGGTTCTTTTTTTTTCACTGGAAATTTTCACGATGTCATTTCTGAATCCAGGTCTCTGGTTGTGACCCTGAAGGAAACTATTATACAACGGAAATGGAAGGGAATAATAATATAATAATAATAATAATAATAATAATAATAATAATAATAATAATAATGATAAATGCGAGAAACAGTATTTTAATACGATAATAATCGAGGAGAATATCAGTAAATAAAGAAAATTTATAAATATTAGTAACCAAATTTCCACAGGCTGCTAAAGTAACCTATTACTCTTTGTACGCTTTACCATTTGCCACCATGTTGAACTACAATGATATTTCGACATTCTTTGCTCTTTCTCTGTTATTTCCTTCCTCGCCTTATGATTTTTCCTACCTTTAGCCTTTTTTTTTTTATAGACAAGTTCATATCAGACCTCTTTTCGTTTGTTTTATATATTCATTTCTCATTCCTTGTGGCAGACAACTTCCTTCCAACACTTTTGCTTTCTTCTAATCTAATATTTGAGGCATCTTTTTTTCTCAGTGGCAATTATCCAGTGCCACAACCAAGATTAATTCTGATACTGCCAAATGATATGAAACATTGCGAAGAAAAATGTTTTGCTTATTTCTAGGAATTTGTTTGCTTTTTATTTTTCTGTTGAACTTTTGATTTTTTTTTTTGATTTTTTTTTATTAGTTTTATGTCTTTTCCCCTTCGCTTTGTTCCTCTTTCATCTTTTTCGTGGCTTTTATGCTAATTCTATTTTTTCTTTATTCATCACCAGTTTATCGTTACTTTCCTTTTACGATAACCATTTTGTTGAATATTTTCATGGTTTGTTTTCATTGATTTATTTCTCTTTTTTTATATTTTATTTATTCTTTCTTTATTTCATTCTTTCTTTTATTTTTCTTTCCTTCATTCTTTCTTTTAGAATTTCTTCCTTTTTTTTATTATTTCTTTATTTCCTTCTTTCTTTTATTCTGTCTTCATTTCATTCTTTCTTTTATTTCACTCTTAATTTTATTCTTTCTTTATTTGATTATTTCTTTCTTTCTTTCTTTCTTTCTTTCTTTCTTTCTTTCTTTTCGTATTATTATTATTACCAGTTATGAGAAAAGCGCGATTTAAGAAAAAAGAAAAGTTTGACAATGTTAAACAATATTTCAAGCGTATATCTGTCTTCAAGTTATATCTAAGATTTTTTTCTTTTTTTAAGTATAAAACAATTTAAAATTTATTATTATTATTATTATTATTATTATTATTATTATTATTATTATTATTATTATCATTTTCTTTGATTTCTGGCGTTTATACATTTCTTTCCGGGTCCCGCCCAGAGACCTAAGGTTAGAAATGGCGTCATGACACTTTCCACTGACAAAAAAAAAAAAATATTAAATTACATAGATAAAGCCCATCGTAAGGTGTGGGCTGTACTTGTCAGAACAATTCTTTGTATCTCCTTGAGGCATAGACTTCCAGGAATCCCTTCAATTAGTCTACTGCAATCTTTTCCAACCAGTCCTAGGGCTCCAACTACAACAGGGATTGTTGATGTTCCCATATGCCACATTTTCGAGATTTCTATTTCAAGGTCCTTGTATTTGACAATTTTTTGAATATCTTCAAAGATACATTGCAGTCATCAGGGACTGCCATGTCAATAAGGTATTATTATTATTATTATTATTATTATTATTATTATTTGTGCTTTATGTTCCCTGCTTTGAATCCTGTAGAGCTGTTTCCAGACTATGGTTTTTAGGCCCTATAAAACAATAGTCATTTAATTAATAGCACTTTTCTTAGTATATAGGATGTTCCTAGTAGGGTGATCTTTTGGCAACCTTTGTGTTGATGTTACCTGGGACACTATTAGTAAAAAAAATACCATTCCTTATGTCATGTGACCCAAAGCACCGATTACAGCCAAGAGACTTCATTCCTCACATCCTGAAAAATGTAAGTGCCATGTCAATCGTTGCTTAACTGTGCTTCATGATTACTCTTCTTTTGTTCTCGTTCCTTAGTAATGTTTCTGATTCTAATTCTTCAACATCCAGTAAATTTTTGTTTCTTAGTGGCTTTAATGCCTTGAATGAAGTAAAATCGATTTTTAAAAAAAAAAAATTAAAATACAGAAAATAATTTGAAACGAAGTTGAGAATGTTAAACTATTATGTAATAGCAGTCCTCCTATATGAACGTGGATGCTGAAAAAAAAAAACCTACCCTTGAAGAGGTTGATTGAGACAACAGAAATGTGATTCTACAGGAGGATGCTGAGGATACCATGACTGATCTTTGGAGCAATTTTTATGGAATAAAAAGGAAAATAGGAAACAAAAGGGCAATTGTAGAAATCGTTAAAATATTTAGCAAATATAATCAGGAAATAGGCTTACAAAGTTTGACACTCACAGAGCAGGAACAAGTTGAATCATCTACGTAATGAGCTTGTCTACATGGATGGTTAATAAGTGAAGGGAGGGAAAATAAAAATACAGGCATTGCTAAGATCTAAGAAGGGTGGAGAGATATGATTGTTGATTGATTTATTTTTACGGTTTGTAGAGTCTTATAAACGAAAAATTCTTACAATCTAAAAATATTTTTTTAGCTTTCAATAAAAAAAAATGAGAAAATAGTATAGTGATACAAGTGTCACTAATTAATCCTTAGCTGGGGACGAAGATTTAGATTCATATCATCGTAAGTGCATTTGCGCGAAAACGAATATAACGAACCCAACGGGAATTGAAACTCGGCTCTCCGATTAACAATTCCGAGCCATTATCCATTACACCTCACAGACGTCCAACATTTAATATTCCCATATTCAGTCACGCTTCTAGGTACTAACCAGGGTTTACTGAGAAAGAAAAATAGAGGACAATAAAAGAACAGGTTTCACGGAGAGAGAAGATGACGAATAACGTTGCGTTTAAAAATTTTGAAGATCGTAGTTGATAAGAAAGCAAAAAGCCAGAACAAGTTCCGCAAGCAAGAAGTGCGGGAGAAGAAACTATTAGCATAGAACTTACGGTTACAAATAGAAAATTAAACTGTGAAATTATTAGATCTAGCTGCCACTCTAGTAATGCGCACACATTCTTGAAGTCGAGGTTTCAAGAGGAAAACTCATTAGAATAATTACCGTGGAAATATTTATAGAAAGGTCAAAAGGAAGCAATGTTATGTTGATGAGAAGACGGCTGGAGCTGAGATGCCAGGTCAGGACTAATAAAGTTGCATTTTATGTTTTTTTATCTACGGTTTATGAACTCTTTGCAAGTTATATAAATCAAAAATAATATTTTAGATTGTCAGATTTTTTTCTGAGATAATAATCATTTAAGAAAACAAGTCTTACTTATTAACCCATAGCTGGTGGGGAGAAGAGATGGATTCATACCTTTCCCAAGGGTATTAGTGCGTAAGTGAATATCACGAACCCAACGGGAATTGGAACTCGGTTTTTCTTTTTAACAATTTAGAGCCATTATCCATTACACAACACACACACACCCAAGCTTTATCGTACCTAGTATTCCCAAGCGGTCACCCATCTAGATACTGATCAGCTTCGACGTTGCTTAACTTCGATGATTGTACGGGAGCCGGTATTTCAACGTGATGTGGCCGTAAGCCTAGATAGGATCATGCACGTCCTACAGTAAAAACGGCGTAATGATGAGGCAAATGCATTTTGGTCTCTTGAGCTCATCTTTCATGATTTAACTTTCACGCTCCCCACTTTGAATTGAAATCTAACTTCTTGAATCCGCAATTTCCTTTTTCTCTCTCTTGATATTAACTTAGGCAATTAACTGGGCACTCATGTGTAATAGTTGGAAAGAGAAGATCAGTTTAGGCAGTGGAGTCACGGTGGTGGTGGTGGTGTTTGGGGGGAATGATGTCATTTATTCGAGATTCACGCAGTTCCGGTTGGTTGCGCAGACCCGCGTCTGCCGTTACCAGTCGAATTACTGCGTGAATGAGTCAGAGCTGGAACCTCTTCTCGTTTTCACCGCTTATTATAAATATCGCACTGTGAATCACGCCTATCTTTTGATATGAGCAGGAAAAACGCTCCCCCTTTAAATCACAGTCGGAGCGTAAAAAGTGCAAATACAAAAGGCGTTCTAAAAAAAAAAAAAACTCTCGAAATTTGGTTTTAGTATTTACGGTTTGTTCAGCTTGTTAGTCACCTTCGGGGTATTTATAAAGTCAGCACGATAGAAGTGCATGATCAATTTTCTTAATATTTCCTTTATTTTTTCGAAATATAAAAGCATTACTATTGTTAAAAAAAAACATAAAAAAACACTAAAATAAAGGGACGTTTCAGCCAATGTACCCTCTGGCCTTCATCAGGTGTATATCAATCCAGATAACCTGCAACGAATTCTGAACTGAACTCTTTATTTAAACTACAGGGGTAGACTGTTCTCTTTCCACTTCTCATGTCTAGTCTAGTCCTTTTTCTTATTAAGCATTGCTCAGTTAGTGATCGCCCGTTTTCACTGTGTGCAGGTACATACTGCCCGAACCAGGGATTGAACTTACAATCACGATATCATCAAATTGACAAATCAACGCTTTCATTCACTATATGACAATGGCCTAGTCGGTTAAAATGTTGCTTCGTGAATTTGGTGACATAGTGATTTTGAGTTCAATCCCTGGGTCGGGCAATGCTGACATGAAACCAGTGACAACGGGCGAGAAATAAGTGTTGAGTACTAAATAAGAATTAGAGGATATTCCTAGGCATGAGCAGTGAAAAGAGAACAGTATAACCCCGTAGATTAAATAAAGCATTCAGCTCGGAATTCCCTGTAGGTTACCCAGACATTAGGAAGGCAGAACGGCCGAGACGTTGTGACAGCAACAATAAAGATGAGGCAATAGTCCGAATATAAATAATGTAAATAACCACATCATAATTTTTTTTTAAATAGTGCGTATTAAATCTAAACATTTAAAACATTACAAAAAAAAAAAAAACAACATAAGAGTGTTGGTGATTAAATTTTTATTTTAAATTATTTAATAATAGCCCTATTAGAATTTATCATTTGGACATCAACAACCGATTTTTAAGAGAAAACTATATAGGCACAACAAGTACTTCTACATTAGATCTACTAAGTATCTGCAACGTTACTGGTGCTGACATGGCATCTCGACTTCAGTGACATTCCCATCAGGGTAAAGTGGCTTCATTTTGCCTCTTCTAGAAACATTTTCACGGTAATTTTTCTAACGAATTTTCCTTTTTGGTACCTGAAATTCACGAATTTAAGCGCATTACTAGATTTCATTATTTCACTGTTGAAATTGCTATTTGTAACCGCACGTTCTATGCTAATAGTTTCTTCTCCCGCGTTTCTCTCTTGTGCAATTTTCCTCCGGTTTCTTGCTTCAACTATAATCTCCAAAATTTTAAATGCAACGTCAATGGCTAAACCTGTTCTTTTATTGTTCTCTTTTTCTTTTACTCTCGGTAAATCCTTGTATCTTAGTGTCTTTTATTGTCTTGTTTACCTTGAAATCATTGTTAAATATATACTGCATCAACAGCTATTGCACTTCTATTTTTTCTACTACTACAAAAATTTACTGTTCTTAATATTAATACGCATATTACTCCCATTTTCCTTTTACTCTTACTACTTCTATTTAATTAACACTGTTACTTCTAGTACGGCTTTTACTCCTATTACTGCTCCTGATACTACTATTACTTAACTGCTACTCTTACTGCCACCATTTGACGTCTACTCTTACCACTACAGACACTCAATCCCCTAAGGTTCAATTCTCGGTCCAAACTTCTTCCAACTGTACGTAAATGATCTGCCTCGGATTTTTATCTGATCATTTGATAATATATATGCTGATGATACAAAGGTATATGGATGCACCTCAAAAATCATCGATGACCGGAGCTTGGCAGATGACCATTCCTCTGACCTAGCTCTAGCAGGTCAGTGGGGAAACATGAGCTGGTCACGTTCAACGACTAAACTAGTGCCTTTTCACTGCCGCCTATCGGAACCATATGATTCACTAGTCGTGATGAAAGGCTATTCCCTCATAGAGACCCCATTGCTTGAGCGCCTATTGAGATTTAAACTCGACAGACCTCAAGTGGAACTCGAACGTGTGATTCATCGCTAAAGATACTGAAAAAAAAAAGCCGGTTTTCTGTACTGTAAGCACACTCCTCCTGCTATCTTCTACCTTTACAAGAGCCAAGATTAGGCCGAAAATGGAGTATTGCTGCTATAAAAGGGCAGGATTTTCCCACTCTTCACTTTCTATACTCGATAGTGTCCAAAAGCGTCCCTGACGAATTATTTTCCACCTTACAGCCTCTTCTTTAATGACGATACGTCGCAAGCCGCTCGCTCCTCTATCGCTATTTCCACAGAGAGTGATCAGATGAACGTCACTGCTTTGTTTCACATTCGCGGCTAAAATCCAGCCTTCCACACACATTGTAGCAAATCGTCATCATTGTCTTTGTATCCCATTGGTGAGATATAAGTTCCACACTAGCAGCTTCATCCCGCGAATAACTGACTTGTGGAACCAAATTCTAAAAGGTTGCTTCCCTGAACATTAGAATCTTAACCTGTTCCAAGACAAACATTAACCGTTATATCCCACACATATCCGCATAAGCTGAGTCTCTTATTCTGTAATCCTCTACCTCGATGGGCTCCAGGGTCTTGAAACCACTGTAAAAAAATAAATAAATACAAACTTCCATTCTGATTACTATTCATACTAGCACTAATATTCTACCACTAATTTTATTAACACTCTTTTACTTTTAATTTATTAGTTCTACTGTTGTTTGTTCTCTTACTATTCATGTAGTTCTCCACTTACTAACTTACTACTATTATTTCATCTCTTACTACTACTCTTTTGCTTCTCCTACTACCACTACCACTGATCTTACTCTTACTACTACTCGACTATTTAAGCTAAAAACTGCAGGGTAAAAAACGGGTTCATGCCTTTTGTTAAGACTGTTCAAACCTTGTTCGCTGATTCCAAATTTGATGTGGATATTCTTTACACTCTCAATTTCGGAGAAAATCTCTAAATTTGAAAACGTGAACACTACTTCTGTATCTTTACAAGGAATGGATAGGAATTTATTGATAGTAAAAAATCTATGGAGAGTTATCATTGCCAACCCCCGGCAGGGACAAAAGAAGGAAAAAAAAAACTACAGCAAGGCCCAGGTATTGAACTCGCAACTGCCAGATCTGAAAACAACATACATTGGAAACGTACAAACAATGCAAATGCGAATAAGATCTGTGGGTGTTAATTGATATGAATTGCTCCCTAAGTATGTGGGATAATTCATATCAGTTAATACCCACGGGCGTCTATCTTCGTACTGTTACTAATCTCTTTATTCAATCAAAAAAGTTGATTGAATAAAGAGATCAGTAACAGTACGAAGATGGTCTCCTGATGAAGGTTAGATAGTATAACGACTGAAACGTTATCAGTATAATGACCAAAATGATCATGTTGTTTTGAATATTAAAGCATGTAATAATCACGAAATCCGACAAAATGAAGAAAATCTCGAACGTGACAGAGAATTGAAAAAAAAAAAAAATAAATAAAACAAAAACATCTTAAACATGAAAATACTGCTTCGATCAATCTTTACTGGTGTTCTTGGAAGATTTCTGGGTTCCTTTCAATTCGACTCGATTAGTTGGAAATCAATGAAAGAAGCGAAATCATCGAAACGACAATTACAAAAATCAGCTACAAGGCTGGAGTCTTGGAGAATTGAGAAGACACGCTGTTACTCAATGTTGGGTAAAAAGTCTCTTGTTGCTATTGTTTGCACAATGCAATCGTGCTAAATCATGACACAAAGAATGAGTACCAATGAAACGAGTAAAACAATGTATGTAGAGGCATCCATAGTGCAATAAAAGGGGGTCTGGAGTTCTTAAGTCCCCCTCAAAATCTGCTGAAATGGGGAACTAATCAGAAGATTAGCGTGATTCCATCTGTGGCAATCCAGTAAGCTTAATTCTCTCATTTCTATAAAATCCTACTACGATTCATTGTTTAAGATAAATCAGAAAACTTAATTTTCCATAAATATTTGCTTCTAAGGCACTTAAGGATGTGTGGCTTGTGTAATGGATAGCGGTCCAGAATGTGAAATCAGAGAAACGAGTTCGAATTTCACTCGAGGCTGTTAAATTCATTTTGTTACATTCGTTTCGAGTTTGTTACTTTCGGCTCGGATTGTGGAACCGGAGAGCCGAGTTCGAGTTCCAGTCGAATTATATTCACTTACGTGCTAATATCCTTGGGAAAGATATGAATACTCTTCTTCTCCCCAGCAACTATGGGTAAATAACAGGACAGACCGGGTTCTATAGCCTTGGGATGGCAACTAGTCTACAACAGAAAGAAATGGCAACCAACTGCGGGGGAAAATCTGCCTCGTCAGTCATGTATCAAAAGATACATGATCTGCTAAGCGTATATCACGCATGGCACATAACTGACATTCACTGACACGTAAATACACCCTGCTAAAAATTTCAGACGAAATGAGTAAAAAATAATTATAAACAAAATAGAGT